AAATTAAAACGTGATCGCATATACGACCCATATTTCGAGTGCATACCTTATGTAATATTGAGAGTCTTACATGGAATATAGTCTTATGGTCTTATGGAATATTTCCTGTAGCCAGGTTAGTTAAAGAAAAACACAAATATAATTCTAAAAATATATTCAAAATGCATCTGTCTGAGGAGAAGGCCCTTATCAGACATGTGATGGTACGAAGGATAAATAGGAAGGGTACAAACTTGCCTTGATCTTCGTACAACATCCCGCAGTTCCATCAGCAAACCTCGTTGCTGAAAATAAGACACTGAAATCAACGTACCGTCATCACCATGAGAAAAACTTTACAGTTTGTGTATGGGAGAGTTTTCATAAATTATCATTTACAATAATTGAATTTTTTAGATATTTTTGACACTTATCATGATCGCACTTGCCTAATTCTCAATTTTTATTGGTTAATTATAATTAATTGAAATCCTTAATTTGATTGAGTATTTTCATCTATATACCTATAGTTTCATCATGTGATGCACGTACTTGCCTCCGCCACCCTATACTCAGGTCTGTGTACCATTTTAACGCCTTTCTTAATTACGTCTTTATTAATTTAATGTACCATTAAACGCCTTTCTTGATTAATGAGGATTGCTATAATTAAGCAGAAATGACAGATTTTTCAAATTCAAAACATGAACGTATCTTTTATCAATAATTGTAAGAATTATGGTAATTTTAATCTTACTGGCGTACATTGAACGGGTAATATAATGCATGGCTTCAATTAATAAATTGAATGAAGCAAACGAATTAAAGCGAAATAAATCATGGTTTCTTGCTGTACTCAATTAGATTATATATATACAAAATTTGTTCAGCAACTGATGAAAAGCAATCTAAATAAAATAATCCTGAAATATAGTCAACTCACTAACCTGTGCGAACATATCAGATCAATAGGTAAAAATCTTAAGCAAACCAGTGCATAATTTTATATTTTTATTTTAATTCGCTAACAGTATTAAAGTAATGGTTATCTTCTGACGAGTAAATTATGTAGTAGATCGATCTAAAGCTTGAGTTGTGTAGGCTTAGGGGTTGGACACACCACATGAAAAATAATTTCCATCAAATAAAAAAAACAGCTGCCTATAGTTATATAGTAAGAATAAAACGGCGTGTACCATGAACGTCATCACCTTCCACACACCAAATTCCTCAACAGAATAAAAATCTCTCAACTTTAGGAACCACACTTTTTTGGTTAGCTTGTGGCTGAAAAATTGGTCGGTGCAAATCATAAAAAAAAATCACTCAAATCAATTGTTAATCTGAAAAACAGTTTGATGATTACAATTTGTACACTGAACTACTCGTTTACACTGAACACTTAACTACTCGTTTACACCGAACACTTAACTACTCGTTTACACTGAACACTTAACTACTCGACAATTACACTGAACAACTCGTTTGCATGAATAATATTGAACTCAACTTCCAAAGATTAAACTCATTCCCTTGCACTTCATACAAGGCAGTTGCCCCGCCACCTTGCACTTTTTGCAATTCAGTTCAACTCACCACCCTGCGCTACATCACTAATACAGTGGCACCGATGACCCTGTTGATACTAATGCAGTTTTACACACCGCACCGCAATGATTTAGCCTAGTTGAGTTACTGCAATGAATTAGCCATTATTCATGAGTTAGCCTAGAGCAGATGCGTTCGTTTAAATCTACGGATCGACGCTAAGCCTCTTCAATGCCGTTGTTTTGCAGGCAGCACTCGACGCAGAACAGACGACGCTGCGGTCTGTTGTGTGTGGGTGGAAGACTTCAGGCGACGGCTGTGAAACGAGGGAGCAAGATAGCTACGAAGCAGCTGCATGACGGCAAAAATAGTAAATGAAAAATAAAAATTGACAATAATGGAAGCTGCAATTAGAAGATTAACAACGCTGGCAGCTGCAAGTAGAAGATTGACAAAGAGAACACTTGCAAGGGGAAGTTTGACAAAAGTAGCTGCTCCCGCAAGTGGAAGATTGACAGTGGAATAAATGCTGCTTGGAAAATGTTGACAAAAGTAGTCGATGCAGGAGAAAGATTAACAAAGACGGTCTCTGCGGGATGAAGATTTACAAAGATTGAAGCTCCAAATGAAAGATTGACAGAGATAGTAACTGCACGAGGAAGAATGGCTCACAGAGCAGAAGTACAAGGAAGACTTATACAGAGATGTCAGATGTAAGAGAAAGATCGATAAAAAAAGATTAGCAAAACTAGCAGCTACAAAACATCCTGATAAATTTGCGACTTAAGCAGCCAAGTGATCTTAATACTAATAGCAGCTACAAGATGAAGATAGCAAAGACTGCAGCTACGAAAGAAGGATTAGTAAAGGCACAAGAAGCTGTTGCAGGAGAGAGGGCAGCACATATAGGCTACCCCAACGAGATAGTGGGAAGGCATGGAACTAAATTAACACAGTCATCAAAATTTCTATTTGAGAAAAAGTACTAATGATGAAATCAACGTACATTATTCAATATACAAACTAGATAATAAATGAAAACGCAAACTCAAGAGAAGTACGTACATCAGTAATCCTAGGTAGCTATCAGACGAGAAATGTAAAGTTGAACATTAAAGAGCATTAAATTCGGCTGGGCCCTAAACGCCATCGGTGTTATCGCCGAGAGGAAGTCATCGTTTATCAAAGATCGATCAGGTCAAATCAATTCAAAGTGTGAAGAAGAAGAGCGAGAACGACATTCATAAAGTCGGACCGCTAAAATGTAAAAGGAAGAACGGCGAAAGCATCAGCTCTGCGTGGAGAAATTAAAAAAAATTAATATCAGAAAACATCATAAAAATAGAAGCAGCTTATAAATATCAGAATCAACAGTTGCTACAGTTAGACAGCTAAGGATGGCAGATGTTGTAGAGTTGAATTGCCAAAAATATCAGCTACGAGAAAAACATTATAAGCAAACTATCAGTTATGAGAGGAATAATGAAATCCTGCGTATCCTTCCTTTCATTATCTTGGGGCGCACTTAAGAGCTCTGTTCGTGGGAAGAATTTGTGGAAACAGAGCCTCAACAAATCAAAGGAATAATAATTGCGCGAAGAGGTTCACTTATGCAGAACGCCGCTGAACCATTATTCATATCCTTTGAAAGTTAATACCATTGAAATATAATGTCTTTTATGATTACAATGCTGAATAACTTTAATGGCTTACGAAAATCATATCATCAAAATATTATTTTATTTGAAGGTAATGTATCATATGAATATCGTACCTAATTCATTTCAAGTTTCTGCATTATTATGTCATTTGTACATTACATGATATGTGTATGTTATGTCCTTAAGTTCACAGCGTGATATACCTCTCTCTTCTCCTCTCCACTGAGTACAGTCCCAGGTGTTTCAGCCTTCCCCAGTAGTTCAGGTTCAGCTCCTGAACTACTGGAGGGTGGGTACACTAACACCCACCCCTCAGGTGACACTAGTGGGTGCACTAGTGGGTACACTAGTGGGTGCACTAGTGGGTACACTAGTAGGTACACTAGTGGGGACACTAGTGGGTACACTAGTGGGTACACTAGTGGGTACACTAGTGGGTGTCATTAGTGGGTACACTAATAGGTGACACTAGTGGGTGTCACTAGTGGGTACACTAGTGGGTGCCACGAGTGGGTACACTAATAGGTGACACTAGTGGGTGTCACTAATGGGTACACTAGTGGGGACACTAGTGGGTGTACTAGTGGATACACTAGTGGGTACACTAGTGGGTGTCACTAGTGGGTACACTAGTGGGTACACTAGTGGGTACACTAGTGGGTACACCATTGGGTGTCACTAGTGGATACACTTATAGGTGACACTAGTGGGTGTCACTAGTGGGTACACTAGTGGGTACATTAGTGGGTGCACTAGTGGGTACACTAGTGGGTACACTAGTGGGTACACCAGTGGGTACAGTAGTGGGTGTCACTAGTGGGTGACACTGGTGGGTACACTAGTGGGTACAGTAGTGGGTACAGTAGTGGGTGACACTGGTGGGTACACTAGTGGGTGTCACTAGTGGGTACACTAATAGGTGACACTAGTGGGTACACTAGTGGGTACACTAGTGGGTACACTAGTGGGTACACTAGTGGGTACACTAATGGGTACACTAGTGGGTACACTAGCGGGTGACACTAGCAAAAAAAAAACAATGAAGACCTCAAATCTGGTATGCCAGTGACCTGTTCACTCAACTCTTTACTTCTAATAGATCGCGTCAATAATGAAAAAGTTGTGATTTTTCCACAACCGTCCATCGGCCAACAAAAAATTTCTAGCATTTTCTTAGAGACCCAATGACGTGCAAGTGACCGGCATTCCCAAACTTGCCAAGTTACTTAAATGTTATTTGCCATTTCCGTAGAGTATGCTACCGAAGACGCTACCTGGTCGCATTCGGTTAATAATTCCTTGCATTTCCTGCCATTCTCAGAAATTCACACATAATTTTAGCTTGCATTTAAATCCTTTGGATAATTTGGTTCAAGTTCTTCAGTTAATGCTGTCAAGGTTTTTTAGGTAATTTGGTCAGTGTAATTTATGAAATATGGCAAAAATAAGGTTAGTGTATGCTGAAATATGGCCCAGAATGAATCATACACTAATGTAAGAAATATGGCTCAGAATTTTAGGATATATGGTTAGTGTGCTTCAAGGATTTTGATCAAGGTTATTTAAGCAATTTTGTTTTTTCAAGCAAGGTTCTTGAAGGAAAGAGGTCAAGATACTTAAAGGATATTGTGGTCAAGGTTTTTTTGATGAAGTTTTACCGGCATGATGATCATAATTTATTTAATTATAAGTCACAACGAAGAAAAGCGATTAGGAAATCTGCATGCTTTCTCCAATGATATTCTTAGCATTAACATAGTTAACACCTTCCAACTTATTTTGTGTTTTGATGAGGCAATAAAACACGGAGAAAACTCATGAATTGTATAATAACTCTCATATGAGTATGTACAAAAACGTTGAACCGATAATTAATATAGGCTAGGCGTTTAGCGGTGATATGCGTTCATATCTTCTTCTTTAATACGTCTTATGGTATCATTATAAACTACCATGAAAGCAATAATCCTTTTTAATTCATTGAAAATGTTTTCACTAATATTTAAAGAACGCATCCAAGAAGATTTTAATTATACATTAGTATGCTTCTTCCATTAAGATGCTTAATGAGATTTTTTGATTACCTACTTATTCCGTCATTCATTATATTTTAAATTCAAGGATAAAAGATGCACGAAAATAAATAAGAAATGACAATTGCTGCCTTTCATGATCAAAAAATACAAATGTGGTAAAATCTCTTGACTTTTCATGGACAGTAATTTCTCTGGGCAATATCCGTTCCCTTCTCACGTAATCAAGTTCAAAGGATAGCAGCGAAAAAATACTTGCATCTCAGCCTAAGTAAATAATTTAGCAGTATATATGTACAAATACAGGCTGAATCACCAACCCAATACTAGAGTTATACTTTGAAACCAGGTTCATAAACATAAATGAAATAATGCCCCCGATTCTGACAGGTAGACGCTACAGACACCGCTATGAATGTCATCACAACGCTGCAGTCGACCTGAAGCTCATGTCATCACCTCGAAGCAATCTAGAGGACCTGAAGTGTACTCTAGATCATACTTTTTCTAGAATACTCTAGAGTACTTAGAGAACTCTGGAGAACCTAGAGTACCTAAAGTACCTAGAATACCTAAGAGTAGGCTACCTAGAGAGCTCTAGAGTACTTGAGAGAACCTAGAGTATCTAGAGAGCTCTAGAGTACGGCGTGAACTCTGGAGTACCTAGAGTACTTTATATTGAGAGAGAATAATTATCTAGATCTCTTTCATCCTTCACGCAAAGTTTACAATAAGGTGGGAGTTTTTAACACAGATAAGAAACAAAGAAAATAACTGGTGTTAATGGAAATAAATGAACTAAACTGCAAATAATAGGATAGAGCTTTTTATCTACTTTAAAATTTTTATTTGTCTTTTTTATTGAAATAAAATTTGGAAAAACAATTTGACTTGGAGTGCTTGTCATCCTCAAGAGGTTGATCATGAAATTAATATAGCAATATTAAATTCTGCAATGTCCAACTAAACTACACGCAGATGCAAGATATTTTACTCAATATTCTCAGTTGGCATGAAGTAATGCTTAATGAGACGAGTCAGGAGGGCATTATTCATTATTTCAGACGTAATCTCGAAAGAAGCGGTTCAATAACTGTGGTGCACCAATCAATAGAGACATATACGCGAGAGCCTTTCAGGAGGGCGCAAACACTTCTAATTCAAATGATTTTTTGTATTACAAACTAGATATTTTTAGCTTCTTATTTCCTATTTTATAGTAATATTTACCGCCTATAACACAAGCTCGCTTTTTAAGGATTTGTAACTGCTGTCACCCGCATACCGTCTGATCTCAGCGGTCTTTAGTGAATACAAACAGTACACATACTAACTGAACAATTTCTTAACTCAATAGTTATTCAGTACAATATGATAAGAATAATATCGCATATCACCTTCTAATATGTAGTATTGATGGTAATTAGTGGTACATGGTATTACCTTGCGATTGTACGATAGCTCCGTGTGATACTCGATAACAAAAAGTTTGAAAATTCTGATAGACACCAAGCACCGCACTCGCTCAAGTGAGTCAACAACACCCTCTCATTTGTCGAGTGTAAAGTCCGAAATTATTTGATAAAGCTAGTCTTTCTTGAACATAATTAGAAATTTTATTTGTGCCTTCAAAAATACTTTGATTTGCTTCTTCACCGAGAAGTCTTGATATCACTCCTTCACGAAATAACTGAAAAATGGCGACTAGAAATCCTATCACACATCAACACACTGCAAGCAGGCCCTCTTATCTTTAACCTTGTACGGCACATGAGATAAAAAAAGATCCACAAATAAGTGCACCCAATGCAAACATTTTCCCAAAGAATATCACAACACCGACGTGATATAAGAACTTATCAACTGTTAACTTGGGCCTAAATAGGGGAAGACTCAAATCTAAAACCAGGGCGGGAAAAAGATTCGATGGTGAAGCTTGGGTCGACATAACTCACATCGGTGCTGGACCCTGCCGAGTCCTGGTGTCGTTGGTATGGCACGTCGCAGTTCAGGAGCTCAAGTTGCGGATGCATCATAGGCGGGGTTGTCGTAGACCTTGTCCAGTCGGTAGGCCGTGTTAGGGTCGTAATCCGATGACGCTGACCTCGTCGCTTTCTGCCTGCAACAAACACGATGAGACCAATTCTGCTACCCTACACACGCATGTACGGTAGAAACGATGAAATTTAAACTCTCAGTGTGTACTCAAATACTTATTTCTACAAGCAAAAACTGCCCTAAGAAACTCTGTGTTTCTATCACTATAAAAAACCTTTCTGTAACTACAATCAAATATTTCTGCCCACAAGAGAGAGTAATTGAAAATTTTTTGTAACCTGAAACTTTCGAACACGTTGCGACACATCAATACCGCATACATCAATTTGCAACGGTCATCAATACACCATTCACTATGCAACGGTCGTCAATACCACATCATTCACTATGCAACGGTCGTCAATACCACATCATTCACCATGCAACGGTCATCAATACCACACCATTCACCATGCAACGGTCATCAATACCACACCATTCACCATGCAACGGTCGTCAATACCACACCATTCACCATGCAACGGTCATCAATACCACATCTTTCACAATGCAACGGTCATCAATACCACATCATTCACAATGCAGCGGTCATCAATACCACATCATTCACAATGCAACGGTCATCAATACCACATCATTCACAATGCAACGGTCATCAATACCACATCATTCACAATGCAACGGTCATCAATACCACATCATTCACAATGCAACGGTCATCAATACCACATCATTCACAATGCAACTGTCATCAATGCCACATCATTCACAATGCAACTGTCATCAATACCACATCATTCACAATGCAACTGTCATCAATGCCACACATTCCACCATTTCCTCATCTACCTGTGGTCTACCTGAGGCGCCCTCTGACCACAACCACCACGAGGGCGACGATGAGCAGCAAGAAGAAAGCCAAGAAGACGTAGAGGGCGGTGTAGATGGAGAACTGCAGGCCTTCCAAGTAAGGAGCGCTTCCTGGGTGCGGGGAATGAAGCTTAACTCGTGTCGTGGAGTGAAAGCACTGACATTATTACGAAATGAAAAAATGTCTACATTGAGGAATGAAATCCCGACCTCCTAGTGGAATGATACTCTGATGAAATCGCGGAATAAGACCTTGTCCACAATATGGAATAGTCCTTCAATCGAGCCTAAATCGCGGATTGAAACCAAACCCAAATTTTTTTAATCAAACCTTTCCACCATAGTGGGATAAAAATTTAAAAATAATCAAAAATTTAACAACATATTTTCATTCACGAGGAAAGTTAAAAAAATAACAAATGATGAATTAATGCTGCCATAACGAAGGCCAAATTGTGCTCGAGATTGGTTCACTGTCAAAGAGTCTTGAATGAATGAAGGCAATGACACAAGTGGTTATGACAGCAAACCTCAGAGGTTGAATGAATTAAATGTTATAATTCATTGCTGCAAGTCCACCTGGCGGGTTAAATGAATTAAATGCTATAAGTGACTGCTACAAGTCCACCTGGCGGGTTAAATGAATTAAATGCTATAAGTGACTGCTACAAGTCCACCGGGCGGGTTAAATGAATTAAATGCTATAATTCATTGCTGCAAGCCCACCTGGCGGGTTGATGGTTTCGTTGGATACCGGTGGGGCGATCGTCGGCTGCACCTGCAAACACGAGACAAAAGTCAGCTTACAAATACATTAAAAAATTTGGGTATAGATTAATTTAAGACCATGACACGAATATATGGAAACCATACATGTCATAAATTAGTTAAACATTTTTTTGTGAGTGAAAGCGATTTAATTCTGGAATATACTGCACGCACGCATTTGTACCTATACTTACACCACGCAACTATATGTCGTATCTAGATGTCGTATACCTATCTATACATCGTACTTGAACGTCACAACTTTACGTCGCAACTGCACGCGTATACTATCTCGTGTTCACAAGTAAATGTTCATGTAGAGGCCAAAACAAAGAGACATTCGGTTCATATTTTCTAGAATTTTGTCGCTGTTGACTTTCCACTGGTAAAATAACTACGAACAAAGAACGCACTAAAAACTTAATATCTAATAATCCTAAAAGCAGCTCATTCTTTTGCGTACGGGATTTATCGCGCGAGTAACCGAACCTCACATACACACACGGTCGCTATTTGTTATTGCAAAGTAAACGCTCTTCTTATTATTTTGCAGATATAGGCTGCAAATTCTTAACCACGACTAATTCCACCGAGGTTCTTGTACTAATCAGTATCGTACGTATACCGACATCGCACCATACCACCTCGTTTTTCTAGAAACATACATCCGACTACTTCTTACACAAGCACGGCACATGCTCCCACAGCAACTAATCCTCCTGCATGGCCATTTGCCTTCCACGGCAAGTTCTTCTTCTGGTCACTTACCAGCCTCGACAACTCACATTTCTTCGCCATATGTATATCATCAGAGTCAAGCCATCTGTCCTTACCATTGTCCACTGTCGACAATTCAGCTCTCCTAGCTACATGCCTCTAATAGCAACTATCTATACCAGGTCCCTTCTCTTATACGGCAACTAACCCCTTCTGGCCACAGGTTCCCTTTGATGCCTTTCCTTGCAACACACAAGGCTACGCAGCAACTCGCCCTATCTGTCACATGCCTCACACAGTAAATTGACTCCTTGCCACGTGCCAGGGTTCACAACAACTCACCCCTCCTGGCCACATGCCGCCCACAGCGATATGCTGTACGGCCAGCAGCGGCTGGCTCTTTTCCAGCGTCGAGCCAGCTGACGCCGACACCGTTAGAACAACCTGCGCACGTTTTGGTTATTAAATAATGTCAGACGAGTGAACTTGAAAACAAAAAATAACTATCGAACCTCACCATTCGCTCTGGAATTTTCTAGTTTAGGTAGAGTGTAAATCGTATCACTTGAACATTTTCGACCAGGATTTATTTAATTTTAATAGGACTCGAAATTCTACAAGAGGAATGAAGCTTATTTTAAAATTTTGTAAGCAACCAGGTTCAGAATGCTTAGTTTTGAATCGAGAGTAATTCTTTCACGCCTTAGAACTCGACATTCGCGGTACATGGCACTTTTTTGCGCGATCGCTGACGTACGGAAGAGAGGTGTTGTTACCGAACATGGGGACGAGTCAGCCGGTAAAAATCTAGTCTAGTAACCTTTTCAGGTAGCCCAGCCAGTTAATATAGTCAGATAACTTAGCCTAGCAGCCTAACCTGGGAATTGAACCTTGTAACCTAAGTTACCTAACCTCCACCTTTTAACCCACGCTCTCATGCTAACGTAGCAACTTAGCCTGGTGTAACCCTCGCCTGATCCCCTTACATGGAAACAAAACCTTGAACCATCGCTTTGGAATCTACATTGGTAACCTAATCTGCTAGCCTAACCAGACGCTCGAATCGGGAACCGTATCTTACAACCTTAATTAAAATTCTTAAATACCAACAACATTGAATGGTACTCATAGTCTGGAAATTTAGCCTGGAAATCTAATTTGGAAACCTGGCAACATGGTTAGCCCTCGCTTGGTAACCTGGGTTCTTCTTATCATAATTTGCTATCTAGCGTAGTTACCTCTGCCTGGTAACCTAACTTATTATACTTGACTCTTAACCCTGACTGGAACCGTAGCCTGTCAACTGCAACTAAACGTGACGATCTAGCCTGGTAATCCTGACCTAGCCAGGACTTAATAACCCATTTAGGTGCAACCTGATAAGTGTTTGATCCTGACCTGGCGACCTAACCTGATGAACTGGCCTGGAAATCATGACCTCGCCTGCTAATACTGACCTAGCTTAGTAATCCTGACCAGATACTTAGCACGACAAGCCTGGTTGGTATCCTGACACATGCGACACGTCAAGACCTGGTAGTCAAGGGCGAGTGAGGGCCACTGCTTGAAGGAGAAGCTGTCGGTGGTCCAGACGTTCGTGGTTGCCTGGGTGTCGTCGAGGTTGGAATAGAGCAGCTGCGTCCCGCTCTGGGCGTTCACCAGAGTCACTGCGCACCGAGATCTTAATTAATTGATGCTCACTTGTTACCAACACCACTGGCAATAACAACCTGGTGTTCGCACACAAACTTACGAATTAGAAATTGTGTAATAGGAGAAAGATTGTTTGAAGTACAATTTTTAAGCATCGTTCCAGTTCAGAGGCGTACAAGAATTACGTATTAAGTTTGAGTCAAATGCTGCCTATAAAACCTTTGCCTACACTCAAAGAAAATGGCGAGATTTTGTCCAAATAGCAATGCACTTTTTGCCGTTGAGTAAGGTCCTACTGACCCAGTTTGGCCCGGCAAAGGCCGTATTAATTGGAGCTATGTCCGTTCTCTGCTCGAGTTGTGATTAAGAAAGTGTGTCACTATTTGGACAATGACACATTCATTTCTTTGGGTGTACCTAAGTCGACGCAACTCTCCAGTTCGGCTTTTCATTCAATAGACTTCACTTGCGAGTGAGAAATCTGTGCTGAGAGATCGTTCCATTTTATTTAATCTCTGACTTTTTTCACCACCACCGTAAAAATTAGGGAAATATATTATCTATTTATCCCACAACAGTTTGTAATTATTTCAGAATCATTGGATACACAATAATCTTTGCATCAACTAGCTGCTGTCTGCGCTCACAGCCTCGAAGTATCTACCTCCAGCTTACCGTTAAAGACAATGTCCTTGGCCGGTATAAAGTATCTGATGAAGACTTCACCGACGGTGGTCGCGGGGAAGGACTTCTTCAGTTGCCCCATGGGTGAAAATCCGTCAACCTGCCCGTTCAAAAACCGACCATGTGTAGTTAAATCTGCTGTGTACATTACACATGAATAAACAAGCTTCTTATTTCCATTATATAAAGGAAAGTGTTCAATTGTACATTTACTTATGCATTGACTAAATTTTTCAGCAAATATATATTTTTGCGCACGATACAAGGATAAAATCGCTTATAATTCGACGAACATGAGATGGGCTATTTGACGTATTTTTTCAAGATTCATATTAGGGCTGATGAATAAATGTATGAACAAGTCATTCACGTCAAATAAATTGGCAATCGCCAGTAGGCAATGGACTTCCGACGTGCATCCATTACCGGTGAAATTTATTTAATTTCAGTGTCGCAGTTTAAGATATCCTCTCAACTTTAGAACTCTGTAAGTAAATCTACAAAAAATCAACCGAATGTAGGACAATTCAAGCAACTTTGTGAAATGCCAGAACAAACAGTAACTTCCACTGCCAAATTAGAATTCTCTCGGATGATGGAGTAACTTGGTAGAATGAAATACAACTCACGGTACATATCATGACATAGTTATTTTGGTCTGGCAGTATAACGAGGTCCGTGTTGTTATCAGATGCAGGTTCGGGCTGCTGCCCCGGATCCCCGAGAACGTCTTCCATGGGCAGCGGGACAGGACGCTTGCTGGCTTCCGTCGCATTCAGGTCGGTTTTGGACCAAGTACCCAGAAAGTCCCAGCCGTTGGTGCCGTTATCAAAAGACGTGTGGTCCGAGTAATTGTAGTTCTTCTCGATGAAGGTAGAAATATTAGCCCGAGAGATACTCCCAGAGATGACAGGTGCCTGCGATGTCACATTCGGGACAGTAGTCGTTAGAGGTTCAGTAGTAGTAGTAGAAGTAGTAGTAGTAGAAGTAGCAGTACTGGTAGTAGTACTAGTAGTTGTAGTAGCAGTAGTAGTTTCGGTGGAACCTGCGTCAGGTTCCGCGTCGTTATCACTCTGCCTAACGACCCGGCTGTGCCGTAAAGACATCGGGTGGTGACCGTCGCCGATCTCTCCTGCATGAGAAGGTCCCTCTGTTTCTTCCACCCATGCCGTGTTCGTAACCAGGAGTTGCTCAATCCCCGGTGCTTCGTGTGTTAGTTTGTTGTGTATTTTCAACAACTCACCATCGATTACCGTAATCAGCAAATTGACGGCTATCAATAAAGTGAGAAGTAGTTTAGAGTGTAAGTATGTTACAGACATTGCGATGTGAGTTGTTGAATGTTAGTAAAAGAACGTTTCAATGAATGGAAACTCAACACGTTTACCTGCAAAGAAAGTTTTTATACTACATCAGTTCACGTATATGATAATAGGGTCTCAGTGGTCCTGGCTTTTAGTCTAATTAAAATTCAAAGTTTCTACGGTCATACAAAATGATGAAATCGTACAAAAGAACCCGTTTCAGCTCGTTGTTTTTTCAGCTCGACATCACCCGTGGAAATCGCAAGTGATCAATCAACGCACGTGTTTGTTTCGACTTGATAGACACTTTTTTTAAAAGTCATGTAATACAAATGAAAGTAATTATTTCATGTACACTGCCAACCATTATTCTGTACACAATCGATATTCGAGTAAAAAGACCAACATTTCCTTCATTATCTGAGTGGTTCTCAAGGTAGGTATTAGAAAAAGGCTTTTAGTTGTGATTCACAGTAGAGCTGCAGCATCGACTCGGCTTTGCACAAGTGTCATGGTCACACCTTATGGGGGAGGGAAGTTAAGGGAGGTGAAGCGGAGGTAAGACAATATCATGGTGACGCACATGCAGAACCTGAGAATCCAAGGGCGATCGTTTGAAAGGCCAGCTTAAATTTAAAGCGATGAATAACGAAGTTCAGAATCAATTCTAGTACAAAAATACATTAAAGTTCGGACGAAAGGCTTGCTCTCAAAGACCAATTTCCATCTAATAGAGGGAAGAATATAATATAAATAGATATAATACTATTATCTGCCTACCAGGATATGCTAGTTAATCCCATCTAGTCCCTCACTTTAACCTCCTAAGATGATTTAGTTAGAGTTTTTAGGTATAGTCTCGGAAATTTTCAGGATAAAGTTTTTGTAGTTTGTGCTCAAAATAGGGTTTTTGTGTTTTTAGCGCATTTTCTCATTTATGGAAAAAATGTGCTATTGTGCTCGCCATGTCCGTCTGTCTGTCCGTCCGTCCGTGACCTCAAGTTTTCGTCGACGAGAAAATGAGCTGTCACTCACTGCAGTGAGTACCGAGTTATATTATTTTATCAATGTTGTAAGTTTGCTTCGTAGGGTTATTTTTCATTACCATCAATTGAAGATAATATGTATGTATGTATGATGTTGTCCAGATCTGCTAACCACCAGCACATGTTGGCTCTCTCTCCACCCACATGGCCTCGTAACAGGTGTGCCATCATCAACTGGTACTATTTGGGAGCGAGGACGTCATGTCTGAAATCATTTATAGCAGCCCATTAATCACTCCGACAAATTCAGGGTGATCACCAGGAAAAATCGTTCACAGTGTAGTGATGACATTGAAGTTATACCAAACTATTGATTATATTCAGGTGCAACCTGAATTGAATCGAAAATTCATATCATGCTGCATGTAATCCTAATTTTAATTTCATACCACGTCGAAATATCACATAGTTCCTGCAATATAGATCTTGCAGGAGAGATCACTCTGTTCATGCAACCAGTCTGCCCGAATTACAAATGGGGGAGGGCGTAATGACCGGCAGCCTCTATAGGAACGCAGACAATGGCAGAAATTGGGCCCCCATACCAACACATTTCACGACTGGCAGCGACAAATCATCAATGACGTTCATCATTGGTGCAGTGCATCATTGATGAGGCTCATCATCGAAAAGTCTCATCATTGCTGCTGGTCTTCGCATAGTGGCCTACGTCCCTTTGCTCAATCGTTCAATACACATCGCATTATCGGCAGGCTTACATCGGATAAACATACTGCACATTGTGAAATCTTTTAATCGTCCTCAGATCACTCGTCCGCAATCGCACATTACGTACTCTGTCGTTCGATTCTTATCACACCATCCTTTTGTGCGCAACGTAAACCGCCAAGCGCACCTCGCAAAATCGTCAGGTGCGCAACGTATATTCGAGAAGCGTACGTAGCAAAATTGTTATGTCCGCATCGTGTAATAGCCAAGCTCGCATTGCCAAAACGTCACGTGGGCAACGTTTTATCTTCCGATGCTCATCGTGAAATTGTTAAGCACATTTTAGAACCGTCTAGATCACATAGACCATATGCAAGTAAGTTTTCTTCATAAACTACAAATATATTCTTGAATGAATGCAATACAGTGCCTCAAGTGTAGCGACGGGGCAAAAACTCCTTTTGCCACTTTTTCATACGCGGTTGAATTTACTTAAGCACTCAAGTTCATTTGCCTTTTCAAAAATTTACATTGTTCATTAGACACAAACTGGACTATTTAAGAGTACACAATGTCGGTAATAATCGTACGAGTTCAGAATATTCAACAGATTTATCTATACTTTCTCACTCCAGCCTCACAAATCCTGTACTGTATTCCAGCAAAAATATCGTATCTTTCAAAAGAGAAAAATAGTGAACCGACTGAAGCGTGACACCACGAACAAGGCTCCAAAGCGGGTAGAAGCGAGTCACTGAGGGCCTTTGTGTGACGGGCGCTGGTGGTGCTGCAGTGCACAGGTGTTCTCATCACACCTGCGCTCGCCGTGTGGCAAGCCGTGTTTAGTTGACCTTATTTCGTTTTATGCGGACTTATGGCCTTACCATTGGTCTATCCTCACAATTATCTTGGCTGGAATTGCAAAGAAAATATAGAACTTGATAAAATTGTGATTCAGTTGTTACTTATTGGAGATGACGATCTTTAAAATCAGAAACTAACGATTTTTTCATGATTGTGTAACGTTGGAAGCCTGATAGATAAAAAGAATATGTGTTATATAAATCTATGAGTGTACCGAATCGGCACTTCTCTTAACTCACCCTCCAACTAGACAGCGGACTCCAACGAAGAGCGCGGCTTTTGCGCAACCGAATCAATCATAAGTCCTTCAATTCTGAACGGATCTGCTTAAAGTCCAGAATGTAACCAAATATTAACAATGCCCTGATAAATAAAGGAATATAAATTTCTACGTAATTTTTGAATAAAACGAAAACTCGTAACTTTTGCGTAAGTGAACCTATATATCAATTCTGAACGGATCTGCTTGAAGTTCGGAATGTAAATAATTAATATGAATAACCGCGATTGTAATTATTACAAATTTCTACGTCTTTTCGTATTTAATTGAAACGGGAGGGAAACCATGGTTGAACCGGGTCGCCTGCCGAAGACCACCACTGCCCTGGATGTAATGGACCATCATGACTCCTGCCTTCCGGAACGTAGCCTTCAACACTTCAAGACGTCCGTATCTAGGCCGTGGGTCGAACCAGCCCTCGGTCGAACGGCCACTTGTCGAAGGACGATAAATTTTGGAACAGAACTATGTTGTCTGAAACCTAACCTCAGCTACGGTGAACGTAAAATTACGTAATTTAACGATGCCCGGAAGTCAGATTCGATCCGCGGCCTGGTGGTGCAGGGCAGGTTCTATGCGAGGCCGGAGGAAGCCAAAGTCAAGTGGTTCACGGCTGATTGGTGGATATCCGGAGAGATCAAAGGCGTTCGATTCAGGGCTTATTGGTGCACAAAATTGGTGGTGCACGGCTGCGCTCCCGGTTGAACCATGGTTTCCCGTCCCATAGTTTCCAACCATGCGGGAAACTTTCAGAAAATTCTGTTGATGAATCATAAGTTGTGTTTTTTCTATTTTTATCTCAATGAGTCATTAATAATTAAATGAAAAGAAACAAGTGAGTACTTAAAAATGAGATGAATTGAATGCCAAATAGCAATTTAACCTAAAACGTAGAAGCTTCATAAAAATTGTTTTCGGAGTTGCGATTACCACATATTTCAGAAATACGGAAAAGCGTTGTCTTTGGGACTTTTCCAAGGTCTTTTTTGTTCAGTTCAATCCTCACGCCTCACAGGCTCACTGGCTTCAGCGCTGAGCATTCTGATGCCGTTTGGATATTTTAAACTAAAGTTTTCATGAAAAAGAAGCACGCAAAGCTTTGATTTCGGATAAATTTCCATGCACTGTTATGACTATCGATTGTCAAAATTATGAAATCCCAAAGGAGACTAGCAAAGATGATAATTTCAAGTACAAAGGTTCGTATTTATAAATTGCCAGTCACAGTCTGTTATTTTTCTGGGAAATATTATCATTTAGAAATGGAATGATTGAATATACTGACTATTGTGTGGACTGTGGACGTGGAGTGTGGATAATATGAATAACTGAATAAGAAGAAGTTTGATGTGTCACCATCAATTTCTGCCAAAAAATGTCTTGTCTTTTGTAATATTATATAAAATTAAAATGGTGTGAAATTACAAGCCTTCCTGTAAGCTTACAAATACAGAAAAAATGCTATAAGGCTGCTGATAATGATATGAAGCTTGCAGTGGACAAGGTAGTTGAAATGCTCAATGCACAATGGCCTGTTCATGGATATGGTAATATCACATCAATAATATGGGAATTAATGTGTAAGGTAATATCATATCAATAAAGGAAAAACAAGTAAAAATCACAGAAAATGTCATTTATTCTATCTCTACATCATCTACAATAAAAGAGGAGGACTTCAGAGTACTGTTCAGTGTTCGTAATGGATGAGTACCATGGTGGCAGGGAATTATTGTGAGTATCGCCACCCCCTTATATCGATGATTACAGTTTCGGTTAAAGGTTGAAATTACTACATCAAGACCAAGAAGAAAGGTTAGAAAAGAAAGTAGGAGTAGGACGAAAATCTTTAATCAAACGAAAGTAGACCTCTCTAATCAGGGTAACGTAAGTTACGTAACCCCCATGTTAGTAAGTCGCGAAAAAAATCGGTTTTCCGATGCCGACCGCCAAAAATGGATTTCAGATTCGTAATCTACACCCCAAAAAACATATAATTAAAAAAAAAACACCCTTTTTTTTGGATGTAGTTAATCTGCAATAATACCTTAAGTTTTATTGCAAGTATCCCAGATTACCTTGTTCCCAGGGGCCACTGTGCAGAGAGTGGATGAATATTGCAAGATCTATGGCGACGCTTCAGTAGCCAAATTTTCGCCTTTAGAAGATCTTGCCGACACATTTAGATTGAAATTCTTGCATTTAATATATTTCTCAGTCTTCACTCTTTGGCCAACTATTTAGAAAAAAAGTAAGGTTTCCGGTACGTTGGAAGGATTACAATGCAGCGAAGCTTGTCCGGAAATCAGTTGCGAATTGCAATGAGTTCCCGCAAAAAAAATGTAAACAACATTTTTTTGATTGCGTATTTTTGGTCACATTAGAGTGGTCAGACTGCTTTATTACATGTTCAGTTGACACTTGCTGTACAATCGGACTGTTTTTAGGGTAAAATTAGTTATTTGGGGTAACACGTGCATGCAACCTTGTAAATAAGTTTGTGGCTTGTAAATAGTTTGTCATTACTCAGCATAAATGGCTTTTCATTAAAAATTACCCGGCGACGCATCTTAAAAATGGTCGGCAATGCTTTGGGCTTAAAAACCCATATATTGGCGACGCTGCTTCCATCTTCTGCGCCCTGGCCCAGGGGTAATTCAAGACGCTTTTATTTTGCGTCTGGCACCTCACATACAGCATATGAAATTTTTTCGGAAGTGCCATTCAATAGCCGTTGCAAAAAGCTTTAAAATGACCCTAAACTCGTTTCTGAAATGTTTCATGGTAAGAAGTTATTAACAAAAAACGCTCAAAACAGTCTCTTTTTACCCTGTTTGATGGTATATTACTTTGTCTGTTTGTCACCTTACCTTATGACCTTATGATAAGTTCGGGACTTCCTAGTCCCCAGTCACGCTTATGTGCTGCATTTGTCATCCGCTGTCTCCAAGTTGTCGCTAGGCAGGTCACTCCTTCCTCAGGTCCCAAATGTAACGTTGGACAAGTTCCGTATATTTGCCCACCTTTGGGCCAGTTGATGCAAGATACTGTTGCTTGTCAGTGTGTCACTTGCTTAGGGTAGTTTCCCATTACTGGACAATCCAGGATCTTTCTCAACCAATTGTTCAGTCGTCTCTTGAAAGTTGCAAGTGTGAACTCCCCTGCTCTCAGCTCTTTTGGCAGGGCATTAAAGAGCCTCGGTCCTACACAGACAGTGATCCCTCACAGAGAGTCTGTACTCTGAACGTGGCTTGGTTATTAAATGGGGGAACTTTGCACAGTCTCCCCCTCCTTTCGTGGTAATGTGTCATTATTCTGGAGGTCTCACTCTCAAAGTTGGGAGCCAGTATGGTTATCATCTTCCAAGTGTACAGTATGATATACCTCTCTCTTCTCTCCGGTGAGTGCAGTCTCAGGTGTTCCAGCCTTTCCCAGTAGTTCAGGTTCAGCTCCCTCATACCGCTGATCTTGTACATGAAGGTCTGCTGCACTGCCTCTAATTTCTGCGCTGCACCCATCTTGAGTGGCTACTAAATTTGGCTGCAATACTCAAGATTGTGGAGCACAAGGGCTCTGAAGAGTGTAATCATTGGTGCTGCTTCTCTCGTTCGAAATGTCTGCCACATTCACCCCTCTGTTGCTGGCTTCGCGTGACTATTTCCTCGATATGGACATCGAACGTGGCTTCAGTAGGTACTCACCTACATATATTAATAAATTTAACGGGGCAATGACCCTAAACACACCTCCAAATATTTCAAGAACTATTTACAGCAGAAGGAGCAGGCTGATCTGAACCCCAATGAGCTTTTGTGGGGAGCAGCTTGACTGTAGTATGTCAGAAGTGCCCATCCAACCAATCCAACTTGTGGATGTGGCTTCTAGAAGCATGAGGTGCAAGTCCCTCAACAAATTAAGACCTAGAATGTCGAAGGTGTGCAATGCTGTAATTGCTTCAAATAGAAGATTCTTTGACAAAAGCAAAGTTTGAATTAAAAACGAGGTTATATCAAATGCAAATCATTATTTCCAATCTTGTCAATGTTTTGACTCTATTTTCTATTCATTTCACAATGTATGGTAGTGAATAAGTGTGACTTTATATGAAAAACACAAAATTGTTTGTGGGGCCTTAAACTTTTGAACTCTAGTGTATGATTGTACACTACAGTACTCTATGATCATATTCCTGTGCAAGGTGGTTATGCACATACCGTACACATATTAGTGACTAAATATGTTAAATGCTGACAGTGAAATCATATCCCTGCATCTGGTGGCTATGAAAGTATGTGTTAGCGACCATGTATACATTCAATGCTGGCTGCTGCAACAGTGCAGTAGCCAGCAGAGCCTGACAGTATCTTTGCACCAAGCAGCTGTACACCCACGTGTAATGATGGTCACGCCCACACAGTAGCTTAACGCCAGCTGCCATTAATATTTATTTTCATGGGCAAATAAGAGCTAGTAGATTATGAATGCAACATTGATTAAGCCTAAAATTATATATGCACCTAGTAAAGCACTCTAAACCTGTGTACTGCTGATCTTGAAACTATTCATAGTTTGGTACTTATAAGGAGACGGATCATATTTAGTTGCTGGATTGCATTTCAAATCTGTTTTAGCCTATCCCTTACTGTTGGATTTGTTGAAATAGCAGAATATAATGAAATAAATATTTGGTTAGTCTTGGACCAGAGCCAGCTTGGACAACTTTCCCTTATAACTTTTCATTGATAATGTTTTTTTACAGCGGCTGCTTTTCTGACTGGAGTTGCCAGCCTATCTCTTCTCAGTGGCTTTGCCATGACATTAGGATGGGCTAAGAAACAAGAACCTACATTATTCTCTAAGGGAGTTCATGTGAGTGAACTGTCTTTTTAACCAGGTTGGCATTTTACTTATTTGCGATTCACTGATGTACCGTACAATCTTTTATTCTTTCATGCACTCCATGGAATATTTAAAAAATACTTGTCAGCAAGGTTATTTGTGGATGATTTGATTTTTCAAATAATTTAGAATTGTTGTACTTACATTATTAAGAAATTATTATTATAGCATTTGAAGGATTTTTTTTCATAGTAGTTTATCTGATAATTATCAAATCAATAAGAAGACTTCAATTTTTGGAAAATGTATTGAAAACTCAATGTAATTTTTTGGCTCACAGTTGATAAACTTCCTATTATTTTAGCCCACAGAAATTGGACATGCCTCTCTGGAGTCTGGGGGATCATTGGCCATGAGGGCTCTTGGCAGAGCAACGCTGTACTCCGTTTCTGGCTTTGCTGTGTTCTGCTTTGGTGTGTGGAAGCTCATGGGAGTTGAAACGGTTTGTGCTAACTTTATTCTAATGATCATAAAATTTTGAATTGGGTTTATGGAAAGATTTGCCAAGTAGTACCAGTACCTAGTACACAAGTTTAATTTTATGCTGATGATTAAAGAAGGAGCTTATGAATTTTGGAGCTTTGTCCATTATCAATTTCTGTAGGTAGTTTATATGCTGAGGAATTATTTTATTAATTAATTTACCTAAAACATACTAAAATTGAAATGGAAAATCTTGTTTCGCTGCAGTCTTTGATTTTCCAGTGAACAATTCAACTGATATTTATGATCTGTCCTTTGTGTCCAATGTCCATGAGGATTTTGAATTAGTGAATACAAAATTTACGCAGTAAGTGAAAAAGATTTTGTTAGAATTATGCAGTTATAATATAAATCTGCTGCTGTTGCTCACTGATTCTGATCATTTAGAGCTTCTCGTGTCATAATACTTGAATTTAATAATACTCGAAGAGTTTGTTATTTACAGATGAGTCAATTTCGGGAGAAAATGGGGAAAACTCTGCCCTCTGTGCCTCGCAATGATCCGCCTCAGAGCAGAACTGAGTTTTCAGGCATTAGGGACCTCCTGCAGTATTTGATTGATGAGGACCAGAATAAAGCAAGGGCAAGAAATTCCCCGGATGATAGCTAATATCTCTCATGAAGATAGCCACAAAGCCCCTCAAGCAGCATGCGAGAAGAATTTTATGTTGTCTTTTATAACTGCTAAACATGTGGAAGTCATTGCCTCAAAGCAACTGTATTAATTGTTGAATGTAATTTTTGTATATAAATCAACGAAGCATTATAATTATATGCAATTGGAAAGCCCTAGGCTACGGCCAGACTAAAAGCGTTGACGTCGACGCAAGCTGACGCGCGTTGAAGCTGCGATTTATACCAGCGTGTCCACATCAGACGCGTACAGCCAGAAGCTGCGTCTAGTAGGCAGCGCTGCGAAGCGCGTTGAATAAAAAAACTCATTGCTCTAGATATTTATGTCCCCGCTGCACCTGCGGCCCTGCGCCGTGCGTTCAGTGCCCTTGAAGCAGCCGTGAGGGACAGTTGTCGAAGCATTGCTCTCATCTATTCAACCTGCTGCTATCTGCTCTCGCCCACAGCGACAGGATATACAGATACTCTACGAATGAAAATTGGATACAAATTTTTTTAGATTACTTTTCACCCTAAAAACTTGCACATGTATATCAAGTCTATCTGTATTAAGGTTGGACTAGCAACGTTTGCATCATGTATAGCCCATCAAAGTATTCATCTAATCTGATCCAAATGGATTCCAAAAAACGATCAAACTAAGTAGATTTGGTATTTCTAAACTTATCTATTATTTCCCTATGAAACCTCAATCAAGGAGAACGGCTTAGTCTCTTACTGACAAGCATTTATACACACTTACCCGCCGCATGTTGCTTGGTTTAGCGTTTACTGTGGCCACTACACGCGCATCGCGGCGCTGCTTTGCTTGAAGCGTCAGGTGTAAGTCTGGCCAGACTTACAGCTCATCGCTGTAAGTGTCTGGCCGTAGCCCTGGAGTAAGTAATAAGTTCGCGTTAGTAAGTAATAGTTCACGGGATTTCGCGTTCCTAGGGTCAGTGTTCCTGAGTGCTCCAACGTCCTGTAACCTCTTGTCTTCGTTGCTCTTCACATTTCCCTACTCCTTCCTTGTCACTTCGTCTCGTTTCTTCTTTTTATTTATTCATATAGTAGCACTGAAAACTGGTTCATGCAGCCCCTTGCCTAAACAGGGTTCAGTTTGTGCCCTATAGTCATACAACATCCGAAAATCGGTAAAACGTGGTGAAGGAGGCAGTGCAGATTCCACTTCGTCTATTTGAGATGCTAACGCTGCTTCTTTCTTGCCTGCTTCAGAGGGCTGGGCACTTGAGCCCTTATTTTGATTGATAATTAATTTAAGAAATCTTCAATAATTAATACTTTCTGCCTGGCTAGCGATGTTACTTAAGTACCGGGTTGATATCGCTCGATAGCTGAAGCGCCAGCAATTCGCCATTTTCCTCGAAAAGTTAGATTATTCAGAACTTCATATTCAGAACACGCTTTCTAGGTTGTGCAAACCTCTATTGGTGTTCTGTATGTGTGCCTGTTGATATATTTGTAAGAAACTAAAAGTTTAACCGGGTTTGCGCAAGATCAGTAAGTCATGCAGTCCCATTGACGTAGTTTTTAACCCCGTTGGTAATAATTAAACAAATGTAGGCTGGTTTAAAAAAATTACCATTTCAATCATACATTTTCCATGGAACTTAGAATTAGCATGTAACTTTTGTTTCAAAACTTTAAGAATCTATTTTGCGCCGGTTAACTCAGATTTATAAATACCATTTTCAAAATTAAATTCTACTTTTCGATCCGACCCTTTTCTCCCCGAATTGAAATGCCTTGCTACTTTCCAATAAGAATACATCAATTTTCAGGTCCTATTATCCGCACAAGGATCGTGGATACGCTCCCTAACTTGCTGTGAGAGACTTAAAACATACCAACAAACAGAAACATACGTTGACATATAAATAACATGAGAAACAAATTAAAAAGAAATAAATTTGAAACAAAAATGCAACATTTATGTACTCCTCACTTTTGTGGTGAGCAAACTATAAGAAATTACCCTCCAAGGCTCACCAGAGACTCTTGGTGTTTCGGTTTTATAGTTAACAAAGTGCACTCATGAAGGTGTCCTGTGTCTAGCGTAAAACCTAATGTGTAACCCTTTATGCGAGAGACTTAATGTTGCGTAACGCAGTTGAGTTTTCTTAGGAGTTTCTATTTGAAGATATGCAGTTGGCAGTTTTAAATAGTATGTGGAGTACATGTCGAAACTAAAAGTCTTTTCTCTGTTCATTGTAACAGTTGTGGCATTGTTAAAAAATTTAAATGAGTAATCATACAACCAGTCATTGAACTAAATTCATGAAGTGGAAAATGGATATAGTTATGAGCAAAATATTTTTTGGCTAGGTGGAGTCCTGGTATAAGACAAGTATTTTTTATAGCATCAGTGGCAGTTTTGGATAGATTGGGTCAAAACACCAGTTTTTAGGTTTCGTAGAAACAAGTTAAAATAACAAGAGAATCGTCCAGAGGCCCATTCAGACTTGATGTTCAATGTAAATACCACTATAGTATTCTCTGTGTATACCTAGAAAGCCCTACGGCATACGAAAGACTTCCTACAGGACATGCGAGACTCGAAGATCGTCACATTGTACAAAAATATATGTGACAGAAGTGACTAACCACTACGTCGGAATATTCCTCCTCAGACATTGTTGGCTAAGTGTTCGCCCTTGTCGCTCTATCCCGCATGTAAGCCCTTCCCGCCCGCATCTACCAAAAAATCCTATTGTGGCTTCAGGACTGGTCAATCAAAAGCTTTCGATCTGGCCTGTCGAATCAGACATTTCGACACCCACCACGCTTGCTGGCGGTGGTCAGGTCCTCTCACATAAACGTGCACGGCACAGTGTGCAATAACGGTGGAAGCTCCGAGGCTTTCCTAGTAAGTGGCGGAGTGAAGCTAAGATCGCGTCAACGCTTTTTGGCATCTTTTTCTCAATGTTTCTTCGTTACGTACGTCTTCGTGAGCTGCAGTGAACTTGGTGTACCGTCTAGACGGATACACCCTTGAGGTTGTCGAGAACTTCCCCTACCTTGAATTCATTACCTCCAGGTTACTGTCCAGCGACTCTAAGATCAGTATTAAGATCGCCAGGGCCGCCACAGTCGTGGCCAAATTAACCAGCGTGTGTAGAGCAACTCAGGTCTCACCGAGAGGACAAAACTGTGCGTCTACAAAGCTTGCGTCTACGGCATATGGTTTCGAGAGCTAGACCACCTACACGAGGCGCAAAAAAATCAACGGTTTCCAGCTTCCACTTGAAATGTCTGGGAAGCAAACTGCATCATATTGCATCATGACACGAGAGTAATCGAGGGCCACATCTCAAGGACCTCGGTGGGCTCGTTGAAGGCAACCGAAAAACAGAACATACACCCAAAACTACGCTTCAAATACATCTGAATGAAGGACCTGAATCAGTCCTATATTCAGTTAATAGTGTGAGAGAGCCTAGCAGACAACCGCCAAGGTTAAGGCTAGCAGTCAGGCAGGGCGCAGAGGCTGAGCGCCACGATTAATGTCACACAGAAGAGATCCAGACGGAAAGGGTTTGCTGCTGTGTGCAAACAAGGCGCACAGCAGCAGCCACCTGCCTTCACCTGTTCGGGCTGTGGCAGAAAGTCTATTCCAGAATCGACCTAGTCGACATTCCAGAGTCGGTAGTTACTCCATGGTCTCAAGAGACTGACTTATGCCGATAACGAAATACAATGCATTAGATGATTAGAAGAACGTTTCATTATTATGTTTCAATTGTACTGCAGAAATGCGTTTATGTTTTTTGCTCTGAATAATTATATTTTATGTTATATTACCATCGCTTTCGAGTTAGTAGCCCGTGTTGTGCTGCTTCCGATCAGCTCTGACATGTGTAAAGAACTTCACCTCGGGAAGAACAACGAACAGCAAGATTACAGTATGAAAAGACACGGTTGCAACGAGAGAGTAATGATTGAAAAGTCTAGTGTGGAAAAAGATCTCGGAGTTTATGTCGACAAGGACATAAAATTTTCTAAGCATGTTGAAACTCAAGCTAATACGTCAAACAATCTTCTTGGACTAATCAGACGCTCTTACGAGTTCCTAGATGCAGAAGCGATGAAGCAATTGTTTGTTGCTGTCGTGCGCCCGAATATAGAGTTTGGAAACGTTGTGTGGTCACCGAGATTTGAAAAGGACAAAATATTAATAGATAATGTTCAAAAACGTGCAACATGGATAATTCCAGGCTTGAAAGGCAAGTCCGATTAAGAAAGATTAAAGATTAGGAAGCTTCCAAGCCTCAGTTAGCGACGTCTGCTTGGGGACCTCTTTGAAGTATACAAGTATACTCAAGGTTTATACAAGGTACGCGAAGAATTATTGAATTTGACAAAAGAACTAACACCAGGGGGCACGGCTATAAACTAAAAAATCTAACTCAGCACTAATTGCAGTGAGTGACAGAGAGCGCATTTTCTCGTCGACGAAAATGTGAAGTCGCGGATGGACGGACATGATTAGTACAGTAGGGCATTTTTCTATAAATGAAAAATGCGCTGAAAACTGCGCTGCAACTTATCCACGCGACAACATTTATACTCGCTTCGAATCACCAACATGTGGAACAGCCTCCCCGATTACATCGTTGGCACTCCTAGTATGAACGCGTTCATGAACAGACTAGATGAAGCTATGGAAAGATATTTGTTCAGACTTGAAATGCCTAGCTCCTTATCGAACCCGGTGGAAGTCTAGTAAGCTATTTAGAACTATCGTTAGTACTGAAAAGATCCGGTCAAATGACACCATTTTAGACCTTCTTTGAACAAGTCACGAAAAGTACAAGAATCGGCGACAGGCCATATCAAACATCAAGCCTACTCATCAGCTCCGACATAACTATGTTATGTAAATTGTACTGCAGAAATGCGATACTTTTTTTAGCTGAATAATTATATTTTATTTTATATTATCATCGCTTTCGCATTAGTAGCCCGTGTTTTGTGGCTTCCGATCGGCTCGACGCCACCACTTGCTTAAAAATATCAGTTAATGCATGTACATATCTTTAATACATTTCCCGTGTTCCGAATAAGTGGGTACCTAAAGTTTTTGTTATTGACACTCGCATGAATCAGGGGTACCGTATCGCAATCGTCAAATATCTTAAATGGTATCTGAAGTCAAAGTAAAATTTATTTGTAAATTGTATTGTCACACATCGATCTTTGAATTCCTGTTAAGCAACAAATTCTTATTGTGCTCGGTTCCGCATTAGCAGAAATGAAGAACCGTGTTAAATTGCTCCGCTCAGTTGTGGTGGCATGTACTTTTAACCCTTTCGTGGATTCTTGAGGAAGACTCTTCGAGAACAAAGGAAAGGCAACTGACTTACTCTTCTCCACTGCAAAATTGTAATTATTTCTCAGCATTATTTGTACCTATAAATACTATTATTATTATTTTTCGTAATCCGTTGAAGGGCGGTTGCCCCGTGTCAGCCTTGCAGGGCTGCCTGAGCTGGACATAATATAAAGGAATAATAATAAAGGTTTTTTGGGATATGTTATTATATAAGCTATTACATTACACGGGTTTGCCAAAGGAAGTTTGTGATATTATTCAACTACTAATGAAAAATATTACGAAAATATTTTTTTATCAAAATCAGTGATGTCGTAAATTGTGTCACCTCAGTTGGAACCATATACTACCAGGATTTTCTAGTCCCAAATATATAATTTTTACCATTAACATACATTCAATTATTTTTTACGGAGATGCAATATTCGGTCCAAGTTCATGATGATTCTGTGCTAATAAAAAGCTGTAGAACACATTGCCATCACGAAAGGGTTAAGTTTTAACCATGGCATGTGCAAGGTTCCACTTCCATCATTCATGATCATTGCCATGTACATGTACTATTATTATTATTACTGTGACACCGTGTTGCATATATGCAACTATACCCAACAGAGAGAGCCAGCATACAGTTGACACCTAGTGACAGGCGGGACGCAGTATAGACCCCTACGGCCTACATAGCCCTTGCCCAAAATTCAATATCTATTCCTTTCCGCTCGTAATCACGCTGGAGGGCATATCAGCCTGTGTGATTAACTGCCTAAAGCCATAGGTGTCATTTCCTTTCCTGGATATGAATCAATCAGCCAGATGACATCAAGCCACTGAAGCAACAGCCGTGGGCAAATAGCCAAACTGTTGCGTGCTTGTATTAAACACAGCCTGGCGTATTCGCGGCTTTTGAAAATAAGCGCCCGACATAACAGCGCCGTTACGTCACAGCCACTGCTTCATGGCGCTCTACTCCACAGGCAGCCAGGCTAAAGCGCAAACCGCCGTCCCTATAACACCTTGCCCCGGCTCTCCCCTTCGCAGCCAGCAGAAGGCTTTTGGTATTATTGCAGATTAACTACATCCAAAAAAAAGGGTGTTTTTTTTTAATTATATGTTTTTTGGGGTGTAGATTACGAATCTGAAATCCATTTTTGGCGGTCGGCATCGGAAAACCGATTTTTTTTCCGACCCAAAAATCGCGCTAAAAATGCCTATCGGAAAACATTTTTGAACTAAATCGATCTGGGAATGAAATGAACGAAAATGTTACCCGTTGCACTGCAACGGATAACATTTTCGTCTTCTTTGTCCATAAATCTGGAGATACATTGCCACATCGAGAGATCACAACCTAACGCCAACTCGCAGGTTGGGTTGGTTCGCCCAGGTTCCTTTTAGATCAAAATGCTTAGGTGTTGCTTAAAGTTGGTGTGGGGAGATGACTCAGTTACCTACAGCTTCTTGGGTGTGAGCTGAGTTTAGTTATTGCATTATAAGGTAGGCGTTGGCACCAGGGCTTGTTTACGAGCTAAATTTGTGGTGTAGGGCTACGCTCCCGTGACAGGCTAGTGTTGCTAGTGAGTGTGCTCTGTCCTCTGTGAGTGTGAGACTGTGATTAATGCAATGATTTTCCTCCGAGAATAATTACTTGAAGACTTCCCTCTGGGGTCTGGGCTCTGATTAATGTTATACAAATACTTATTACCAATACCACTGCACGGCACCATTGAACACTTCCTTCTACATTGTGGACTACACCTGGAACTTGGGACACTTTTTTTGCTTCTGGCACCTTACAAATAGCATATGGATTTTTTTTTTAGAAGCCATGTGATAGCCCTTGCAAAGAGCTTTGAAATGAGCCTAAACTTGTTTATGAAATGTTTCATGGTAAGAAGTTATGAATGAAAAACTTTCAAAATTGTCCCTAGTAGCCCCTGGCCTGTTGATGGTACAGTGATCTTTTTATAGCCATTCATTTCTTGGTACGTCCTTAATGTGTCGGAATATGGTGTGTTTACCCTAGGGCCTAGACAAGTAAAGTTTCATGGATACCAGCATCATCATACATAAGAAATTAAAATTGGTTTATATCTTAAGCAAATAAAGAAATTAGAAATGAACTGATTATGAAAAATCTCTGGTTTGTCACTATGATAATTATGATTCAAATACAACACAGCTCGGAACAAGCTGTGTGTGTCAAATTCCGAGCTGTATTGGAATTAGTTTTTATCTGTCTAATACCGTCTCTTAACTTAATCATACAGTATATTAATTTATTTACAACTTAAAATCAGCAAATACAAGTATACTTAAAGGATTCCTAATATATTCGCAGACTCATTTAAAAGTCTCAAACTATAATATTCTTTCTACACAAACAGTTTATTACTATTTAATAAAGCAAGGTCAACTATCCACTTTCATACGTGTTTCACTGTTCTCACTAGCTGACTTGGACTTAACATTTTCATTTTCCTGCTAGACCTAGTGTTTTGCGGAAATCTTGCGTGCAATAGTAGTATGACATCACTATTTCAATCATCTACGCATGCGTGGAACTAAGACCAAGCTTAATATAAAGGAAAAAGTTGAGGGGTGTGGGAATTATCCACAGTGTTGGAATATGGTGCGTTTACCCTAACATAAAATAAAATAAAAAGTATCAGTTAAATTTAGGTTTTTGTTTTTTAATAATTATTATTTACTTACAATCAAGCATGGAAAACTTCTCCCATTAGGGCCACAACTAGAGCTTTCCCTCCACCTCCAGTACTGGAACCGCAAGATTTCTGCCAGATGAATCACAATACCAGATGAAACAAGTAGGAAAATTCCAATCCTGCATTACAATATTGATTACCTATAATATTTGTTGTACAGGAGTTTTGGTTTCCATCAACCTATATTAGAATTTTCCTAAAAATAAATTAATGCTCACAGGCCACAGCTTCAAAGTAACCAATTTTTTATTTATTTTGAATCTTTTGGCCATATGTCAAAGCAGAGACTTTTTAGACTCTTCCATGGACCTCAGGTTTATTTTTAAGTCCTACCGCATCAAACAGGTTAATAAGGGACGGTTTTGAGTATTTCTGGTTAATAACTTGTAACCATTATCGAATGGCATCTCCAAATCGAATGGCATCTCCAAAAAAAATCCATATGCTATTCATATGCTGCCAGATGCAAAATAAACACATCCTGAATTACCCCTGGGAATAGGGTGATCCAGGACACTTGAATTGAAACTCAATTTTAAAATGTTTGAATCAAGCAAAGTGTACTCGTCCATTACTAACAGTACTCTGAAGTCCTCCTCTTCCTTGGTAGATGATGTAGATGTGGAATAAATGACATTTTCTGTGATTTTTACTTTTTTTTTTTTTATTGATATGATATTACCATATCCATACATTATATATTGATGCAATATTATTGATACAATATTACAGTATCCATGGACATGCCATTGCGCATTGACAACAACCTTGTCCACTGCAAGCTTCATATCTGCAGCCGTATCTGTAAGCTTATAGGATGGCTTGTAATTTCACACCATTTTAATTGGGTCAAGTGAATTCACTATAACAAAAAAAGATAGTAAATCATGCCTGAAACAGAAAGGATTATTTAATGACAAACATAATATTTTTTGGAGAAATAAATCATAGTTTAGGTTAATTACTTTTCATACTATGTTGCCCAGTGCACAATTCTATCTAAGACATTCTATGTAGAATTTTGTGATGACCAATGATGCACTAATCTTTCCTGGAATGAAATATTTTTGCTATTCAAGGTAAATGTAATCAAAATTTTTTGTTGAAAATTGATTTTTTGGTTAATTGGAGCCTTTGCTAACTGAGGTTCTACTGTAGATGCATTTTTAGGGGTGTCCCTTATTACCCCATTGTGCAGCAATTGTCGCCATTTTTTTTTTAGAATATTTGAATTTGAATTTTAAGAGAAATGCAAATTCTGTCTATCACAATTTTAAGCCAACACCCTGTGTGCAACTTTTATGTACTAAGTAAAATTTTTTAATACGGCAAATATTTTTTTGCCACTGACCTTGGCAAAGGTACTTTTCCAAAATCTCACTTTTTACACTTTTTTCAGGGATTTTTTAGAGGTAGTATATGTATGATCTCTTGATTTGCTTTTTCTACAAAGATAGGAAAAATGTTGAACTTTACACCACTTTTTTTAGTTTTGCAATATTTTCATTAATTTAGCTGCTACAGCATATGTACAAAATGTGGGACAACGGGCCCGATTTACCCCGCCCATCCCTTATTACCTTGTTTGCTGGTATAACAAGTAGATAATCAATCTTGAGACAGAGTCCTATAATCAAGAATTCAATATCAATCATAGTGAACTTAGTTGCTTTCTGATATCAAGTCTTTAATGTCTTGATAATCTTCCATCTGAGAGACTTGGTGTGAATTTTTGAAAAGTCTCTGGAAATATTCACCTACATAATATTGACTGCCCCTTATTTTTATGTTGATGTCTTGTTTATATTCTGTGTCTGGGATGTCTCCAATATCAACATTTAAATATGAACAAGTACTTTCAGAACATTTTTATGTGAAGAATGTTTTTAATTTTGCTGCTATCTTTTAATTAACCTGCAATAATTTTAGCGAGTGTATTATGAATTTTAATGAACTTTTCCCCACCATATTAGCTGCAAAATAGAGGACTTTGACATAGAATGATTTATGATCTGTTGTTTGTGTTCTCCCTATGGATATGAGTAAAGTGTGTCCTGCGCCTTTCGTGTCAGTGACGGCGACTTGGAAGAAAAAGGGAGTATCAATTGTGGCTCTGTTGTAAATGTTTTCAATTTTTCTGTTAAATTTTGAACCAAATTTGCATTTAAATGTTTGAAAGAGCTAAATTTGCTGTCAAATCTGTATATATGTAATTTAAATCTTAAGCTTTTTAAACCTCTTTGCCACTAAACCTCTAAATTCTTCTTTAAAGACCACCTCTTTTCTAGATCATTACATTTTGTACAATTTCTTTTGTTGACAGAAATCAATGCAAACTTTCTACAAAAACACAAAGGAAAACTTTGATCCAAATTTGTCTCGGTGCATGGAAACGAAAAAAAAATTCTGGAAAGTACCTATCCTGTTTCAATAACAATATAAACCTCATGTCTGTTTCAGAAATATTTTTTCAGTGTATGTTTTAGGAAAATTTGTACCTGTATATACATGATTCAGGCTTATCTTTGCCTATCAGCCATTTTGTTCAAGCTGAAGTTGCAGTAATAGCGGCAGCGTTCAATGAAATAATCATGTCCATTACCATTTAACATGTGGAAAAGGAAAGACGAGTTCGTGCTACTCACCAGGAGCGCCTTGCACCAACCTCCTAGCTCAAGATGAAGCACTTCAGCCATGGCAGGCGATATGGGTGAGGGAGCACAGCGATTCTAATGGTTACTTATGTCTGTTTACTGAAATTTCGCTTTAACAACATGATCGTTGCTGCGCCTGAACATAGAGACGAGAAGAGACTCTGAGAGTGGTACGTTATGGTTTGTTGGATGTTTGAATGCTTGTTGTGTGTAGATCTTTGGCAGAAATAACTTTTTGTAAAACCTGCAACCATCCCGTCTTCCTTTGGCGATCCCTTTAAATTATCGCTGTCCCGTTGCAGGCAGTAGCCATCCCGGTCATTCTTAGCCAGAAGCGCTCTTTGTCTTGGATTAAATTAGAACCATTATAAAAGACCTAAAAGAGAATAGTCTGTCAAAATAGCTTGCACACACTGAAGAGCTCTTCCCACGATGACAGCTCTACTTTAACGGCGGACGTAAATGGAACAGTCATTGTGGCGCGTCCAGAATTAAAGGTATATTCATTGCCAAGTATGGCTTTCAGTATTATCAAGCAGATCGAGAACACGTTAGAAATTAGCAATGGATTCCGACTACAATGGATATCTTGAACAAGGTATAATGCGCATTACCCATATTCACCTCTGTGTAGCTATCGAATACCACCTACTCGCCCCCCGGAGAAAATCAGTGAAATTTTTGAGGTAGAATAGATGAAGATGGCCGATCTAGAAAAAGCGTACACAAATAATGTGCTTTGTGGAGATTTTAACCTATTACTTATACGATGGCCGATTACGATTCTTCACGCAGTGTGCTTGCGCTCTGGGGCAACACCTGAACCGTTTGAGAGGAGAGGGGCAGTGCTTGTTGCTGGAATCTGAGACCTGAATAGTTGTCAGACAACTAATCTCTGGAGAATGCCTGCTTAGTCGACAAGTGCGTATGCTTACAAGTGAGCACAGTATCCTTGCATTTATTTTCTTTAAACTGGTTGCAGATGCTCTGATAGAGACCACTCTGCTTGACCATCCTCATCCTGTAGTGGACACGACGATTATAGATTATAATAAGTATTCAGCCGTCTTCGTAAAACTGACTGGGAGGCTATTGGAAATCGAACATATGAAGTCGAATGGAGATCCGATTCTAAGAGGGAAATACCTAGGTATGTACAAAAAGCAATGCGTTATGTTATTGCTAGTGAGACCACGTTATGCACCAAGGTCTGCCTCGTAAAGACGCAGAGTCTCTGGGGCACAGACAAGTTCTCACGAGAAAACGAACGTGTTTAAAGGTGCAGCAAATGGTGGTCAATTTCAGGGATAATGAGAGGCTGAGTCTAGTACATCGACATGATAAAATATGCCTGTTCCTCGCGTGTGAAGTGCGTGTGTTCTGCCATTTCTTGACGTGTGACCAACGTGTATTCTGCCGTTTCCCGACGTGTGACCACCGTGTGTTCTGTCATTTCTTGACGTGTGACCACCGTGTGTTCTGTCATTTCTTGACGTGTGACCACCGTGTGTTCTGCCATTTCTGACGTGTGACCACCGTGTGTTCTGCCATTTCCCGACGTGTGACCACCGTGTGTTCTGCCATTTCTTGACGTGCGACCACCGTGTATTCTGCCATTTCCTAACGTGTGACCACCGTGTGTTCTACCATTCCCTGACGTGCGACCACCGTGTGTTTTGCCATTTTTCGACGTGCGACCACCGTGTGTTCTGCCATTTCCTGACCTATTACCAAGTCATGTCCTAACGTGTTACCAAGCCATGTCCTGACGTGTTACCAAGTCATCTCCTGACTTGTTACCAAGTCATCTCCTGACGTGTTACCAAGCCATGTCCTGACGTGTTACCAAGCCATCTCCTGACGTGTTACCAAGTCATCTCCTGACGTGTTACCAAGCCATCTCCTGACGTGTTACCAAGCCATGTCCTGACGTGTTACCAAGCCATGTCCTGACGTGTTACCAAGCCATGTCCTGACGTGTTACCCAGCCATGTCCTGACGTGTTACCAAGCCATGTCCTGACGTGTTACCAAGCCATGTCCTGACGTGTTACC